CTAACTCAAGATCAATCTTACGCCAATCTTTCCCTCGCTCTTCCAGCAAAACTTCTCTAGACTTAGCATCTCCAAACGGATTGACCTTTGGCCTGTGCTTAACTACGTTTTCATCCCTTGCAGCTGGGGGCCTTCAGACCTGCTGGATTGTGCACTAGATGGCCTGCTGGAGTGAGTGCTCGTAGGCCTGCTAGATACCTTCTTTGATTCAATCTCAGAATCCAGTTTCTTCCAATCCAATCCTTTCTCCGCCAACACCTGTTCCCTTGGCCTCGCCGCTCCAAAAGGATTAGGCTTATTCGTCTTAACAGCTGACTCATTCACTTCCCCTCTCGGAGGATCCAAAACTAATCTAGGCCTTTCCTCTCTGAATCCACCCCCACCACCACCTTGGGTCCATATATCAGGCTCCGGTCCAAAGTCATGAAAACCTGAACCAAACGTTGAAGATCGAGCCTGAATTGGCCGTTTTCCAGCAGTCCATTGATCAGCCTCATCAGCCTTAGAGTTTCCAACGCCTCCCCCAGTTCCAAGTCCACCGTATCTGTTCTGCCGGCCCGAATCAAACGAAGGAGTTGTTTTCTTGGCCACTGCCCAGTTATCCGCCTTATCAGCACGCGATGACTGATCGTAATCAGAAAACCTAGAAGGTGGACCGCGTCGTTCTTCATCAAAGCCTCCGTACTGCCTTCGTCCTGAGCCCCATGATCCGTCGCTTCCGTCACGTTCACGCATACCCCGAGCCGCAGATGGACCGGACCTACCATAAGACGAAAATCCTCCTCCCAGACGACCATACTGCATTTCCTCAGCGGTATGTTCTTTGGGTCGGGTCGGGAGGAGCATCATCTCTTCGGGTGTCAGCTTGTAATCCATTAACCTAGCACCCACACCGAATAATCATCCGCCGCCGGACGACGAATTCGTCACCTTGTTGAACTCCGAGAGAGTCATTTTCTTCTTCTTGGGCTTCGCGCTAACGGCTTCCTTTAAGTTAGGAAAACTCCGCGAATCAGCCATGGGAGCAGAAGCAGCCGCTGCTTCCGCAGCTTGACGCTCCTCCGCCTCTTCTCGCTCGGCCTCGGCGGCCCACGCGCCGATGCCACCCCAGGGTTTAGACATTTTCGAAAAAATTATATAATTTCCTCTTACTTTCTCTCTGATTTTTTAATTGTTTAGTTTGGTTGAGATCGGATTAAAAAGCGAATGAAATTTTAGGAAAATTGAGCAGGGCTCCGTTAAGGGAGCCGGAGCTCCGACTGCATGCGAAGAAGGTAAGAGCGGTTTACAGTTTCTTTTCTTCCTTTTTGTTCGAGGAAATTCTTACTAAGAATTTGTGCACAATGCTTTTTATAGGGAATGGAGTGATAGAATGAATGTTAAGCGCGCTACAAGGGATGTGAAATGCACGGACCAATAAGAGACAACAGAGAAGGATTCTTGAATTGTGTGATTTATGTTAGGCGGAATCATACACTGTTTGACTTCCACATTTGGACGGTCGAGATTAGGGTGTTGAGAATCTTGCCTCTCCGGGGTTTCCAAAAATTCACCACTAATATTTTTTATTAATATTCAGAAATCTCATAATCTTAAGAAAATGGAATTACTATTTAAAAGAAATAACCATGAATCAATTAATCAATATTTAGGATAAACTATACCATTAATCAATATTTATACATTCAATCAATTTTATCTTAAATTTAATTTAATAAATTCCATCCACTAATTAGATAGTAACACCATTCGATTAAATTTTAGAATGGTTAAATTATATTTTTTATAATTTAATTTCAATCAATTTGATCTTAAAATTAATTTAATAAATTTAATTCACTAATTATATGATAATACCATTCAATTAAATTATATTTTCTATAATTTAATTTTTTAAGTGTAATCTTCTGCTTGAATGAAAATTAAATAACAAATATATGAAGAAAAAGGATGTTAGGGGGAGTTGAACACGTAGGACGTAGGGAATAGAATAAGAGAGCCTAACCACTGAGCCAACCTCCACATTTGAGATACAATTCACGCAAGACTATATATATCTTATAACACAGTTAATGCTAGAGAAAATAAATGAAAATGGCTATAATGACTAATGAGATTCAAACCTAGGCGTCATGAAAAATTTAAAAGTACCAAACCGTTTTAGCAAACCTTAAGTTTGGATAATAATTGGCATATATTTTATATATATTAAATACTAGTTTATACAATATCAAAAGAAAAATTAAAAATAAAATTTATATATATATATATATATATATATTTAAACAAATTTAATATTTTTCATATTTATAATTTAAAGATTATATATAATCTTAAATTGAGTCTTTCTTATTTAATTAATGATTTTATTTTTCCATATTAAAAATAATAAGGATAAATTATTTATATTTTAGCTAATTTTTTTATTAAATTGTGTAGTTTTTAAATTTCATATTTTGAACTATAAAATCATTAATTAAATAAAAAAGACTCAATTTAAGTGCAATACCCTAATCCATTTCTACCCAAAGATCCATGGATTACAATGTTACAAAAAAACTACCGAAATAGTGAATTAAAAATTTTCTTTAAAACTGCTTAGTAAATCACTGAAATAATTCATCCATAATGGTAAAAGTGAAATGGGTAATAATATGAGTTTACAAAATAATGGGGAGCTCCAAAAATAAATCCAAAATAATACAAATATTGAGTATCAAATAAAGTTACGACTGAATACATAAAAATGGTCCATAATAGTACACACCCTCTAAAGAATGACTCAAGAGGTATTCTGAAGGTCTCTGGAAATCTGGTCTACTGCACTGGAATGTCTGGCGACAATAACTCCCCACGATCTGCTCCCCATGAACTTGCGCACGGAAATGCATTTCGAATGATGAGCTTACGAGCTTAGTGCCTCACTAATAAATGTACTATATTATATGCATTCATTGAAAGAGCTAGATATCGTCACATGTTTGAAACATGTGAAGACATAATATATTAAAACCTAATATGCTAAACTATGACAGACATCATGGTGCGACGGAGGGATCCTGTCATATCGGAACTCACACCTCTTTAGCCTATCGGGTGGAAATATGGAATTATGTCGTCGGAAGCTTATACCAACCAGCCACTCCGTCGAGTCTTGGGGAATTTGGCACTCAGTCGGTTGCTGAGGTGCCATAACACTAACTTGAATATCCACTGAGTGTCGTATTCTGCTTAGGAGGAACTCGGGTGTCTTGATTGTTTCCCTAGCATCAAATAAGGCTAGTTTTATGTAATCCTAGCTGTTATTGTTTCAACTGTTCTGATATTTATTACTGTTCTCGCTTGAAGTCTTATTTTCTATGCTATAGCGTATTTAGGGTACCTCAAGTTTGATCCCTTAATCCTTGAATTATTTATCCAAAATGTATGCGGGTCTCAATACTGACCCTTCAGTATCGATATCGAACCCTTGGTATGATACTCACCTATTGGTATCGATACCCCCTTGTCTGACGTGGTTGTTGGGTTAAGGCATTATCGATACCCTAGGATGAGTATCAATATTGTGGTGTTGGGGTATCGATACCAAATTTCGGTTCGATATTTAAAAAATACCCTGGTATTGATACCCCCATGAGGAGTATCGATACTTAAAGAATGAGTATCGATATCGCCCTTTTAAAAATGTCTGATTTTTTGCCTGATTGAAGAACAATATCAATGTTGTTCTTACAGTATCGACACCATCATTTTTGCCTGATTGAAGAACAATATCTATGTTGTTCTTACAGTATCGATAGCATCGTTATTGGGGTCTCTATTTTGGCACGAAAATCCTATCTTTTCATACCCAAATGCCCCATTGAGGTCCCCAACTGATGTTTAGGTGCTTTATTTAATATTAAGGGTCATAAAGAGTCTACAAGCAAGCTGAAAAACACTCAAATGATGCAATCTATCATGGCATGCTTCAAGTTTATGAAATCTATCAAAACTCATCTAAATGAGATACATGTGGTATATAGGAGTTAGAAGTGAGTTACCAGATGATTCTAAGTTGTTGATGGTATCCAAAGGTCAACCCAAGGTGAACTTCTCCTTCCCCTTACTTGAGAGTTTTCCCCAACTTTTATCACTAAATAAAATCAAACAAAGGATAACTAGCTGAGTTTAGAGGTTATGAAGGGTTTAGAACACTTTCTAAGGCTATAAATCACTGAAAACTGATTAAACTCAAGAGTTTCTTAAACCACAAAAACCCACTTGTGGCAACCATGGCCAAAATTTGATCCCTTGGTCTTAAAAGGAAGCTCTAGATATGTTGAGTTTGATTCTTACCTTTAGAATGCTGATAGGAGTCTGAAATATGATAAAGCTTCTACATTTAATCTTGTGAGAGGAAGAAGAATGGGTTAAAGAAGAAGAGAAGATGACAAACCTTGTGAATAACAAGGGGGTAAAAGCAACAGAAGTGGTCTCACCAAGTTTTAATTGGTTTTCAGCTTTATTTTTGAACTAGGTATAATTGATTCCTTGGTCTCTCAAGTTTCATCATAAGCTTAAAATGCCTCCCTTGATAGTTATTGGGCTCAACCCAAGCCCAAATCCAAAATGCCTCCCTTTACTGTTGATCTTATGACTTAGCCGTTTTTTTCTATTTTGTATTAAAAAAGGGCAAACAACACATTCAATATTTAAACTATTCGTTTTACTATCTAAACTTTTATTTTAGTATCTCGTTCAAAATTTAATGTTAAATTTTGAAAAATAATTAAAAATTTAGGTACTAAAACGGACCAAAATTGATAGTTAAGGTATTAAACACGTTAAATTACGTTAAATTTTTAACTAAATGGTACTAGAATGAAAAACTAAAATGTACTAAAATGAAATAAAAATTATACGTTATGTACAATTTTAAAAAAATTGAAAGTTTAAACACTAAAACGAACTAAAACTAATAGTTTACCTACAAAATGTACAGTTTACCCTAAAAATTATAAATTTAATCCACCCATTTTATTTCATCATTTTAATTTATATTATTTTTATACAACACGAGGATTGTCCTAGATATAGAACACACTTACATAAGAGACGTGAACTGATATGCGTTTTTTTTTGGGGGGGGGGAGGAGAGAACTTACACTAAGCACAGGTTAAAACAAACAAAGAACAGCCATGCTTCGCCACTGCAATCGATATCAACTGTTTCGTCCCTCCAGACTTTCCACTCCAAATTTCATGGTACTTGCATGATACTCCTTTCATGTTTTTCCATGGTAATACCTTCGCAACGTCTGCTAGCTTTGCAGACATCACAGTCATCACTGGGTTCAAATTGAAAAACGCTAGATATATTTCTCCTGCGAAAAAAAAATACAAAGATGATAAGTGAGAACGTCAATGAGTTTCAAATACCGTCCTTGAATCTGCTGTATAAATTGAAAAAGAATGACGGCCTAAAATATATCGAACCTCTTCTACCGGTTGCAATCCATGAACGAACTTCACTCGAACCAGCATCATCTGCATGAACAATCAAAATATATATGGAAATTAAAGAAAAATGAAACTTGTAACAAAAAAGGAAGAGAAGAACAGGTAACAAGATCTTGAAGATTTCTGTAACTTTCAGCTAACACTAAATGTATCACCTTTCACTAAGTCGGCTGTTGCACATAGACCGGAATAACTGTTTACGAGGGAACCATTAGCATTCAATTCCCACATCTGTGAAATCCAGAACGAATGCATTAGGTAACCTAGCTTAGAAAAGCTGTCATCGATAACAAGATACTGAAATTTATCGGAAATGTTAGTATATAAATGCTAGTGGTCTGATAAAGGTCATATATGCGTCATGATTCTATATTTATTGATCACCTTTGGCCAGTTTTCAATAATTATATCAACTGTGTTTTCTTCCTTTGGTTTTAATTGCGCATCCAATTCTTTGTTCTCGTAATTTTACAAATAAAAACGATACCTGATTAGCATCGCGCTTGCAAGGTGTGAAAGAACCTCCCCCAAACTCTTTCGACGTAAGCCTCCTCCTTGGAGAAGCATCCAAGCATAATTCCAAACCATCACTTGCTAATAAATGGAGTGTTCCCTCGTATCGTTGCTTGTAGATCATCTCTACACCCCTGTATAAGTTATTCAACAATGAATAAGAAACTGCACGAGTTGCAAAATATATACACAAAACAGGCTATATATAAAACTAATTACGAAGAAAGAAGAGGTTTTCTCTTGTAAAGGCATGGAGGTTCCTCCAGTTTCTCCCTCCAGCAGATTTGTTCGAGATTTTGATCGAGAGCATTAGTTGACCAGCCATTTGCTTTGGGATCCTTGCAGGTAGTCAGACCCAAAGCTCGTTTACCTAACATGCGCCCTTCAGAAAAATCCTGGGAGAGAACCTTTTCTTTTCTTCTAGATCTTCTGCCCGAAATGTAAGGAAACTGTAAAAACAACAAAATAGCAAGTATTATTAGCTTAAAAAAAGCTTAATTTCCCACACTATGTCCATGGAAGTTTACATGCCTCCATATTGTTTAGGCTAAAAGAGTTTATCTCGAGCAGTGTAGGGTGCGTGATCAGGTTATATGTTGTTTCGTCCAACTTTCTAACATCTCCTCCGAACATAAGAGGTGACTTGGCCATAGACCATAAAGTCATCTGTGAAAAGAAGTTGCAAAGGTCAATAAAAAATGTGTACTTTTGGTGCTAAGTAATAGAAGACCAAATCGTATGTATTTTTGTAAACACACCTGACTTCTTTGCTCGTCGATATTAAGATTAGAAGTTCTATGTGGACCTTCGTTTGAACCTATAATGCAGGAAAGCCTACAATTATATGTGGTTCTTCACTGGTTCTAGCCAAGCCCTCACATATAAAGGCCCCGAAAAAAACTAATTAGTTGAGATTTTCTCATGAACAAATTAGTTTTTGAACCCATTAAGATGTTTATGTTTCAGAATTTGATTTGATACCACAGACAATCAAAGGCCAAATACATTTCTGTTGAATAATGATTTCATGTCAAGAACTGAATCTATTTCAAGGTCGACTGCATGTGAACAAGCAACAAAAATTTACCCAACAGAAAACGTAACAGCAAGCATCACATTGTCACTATAATTAATTGATATGACTTAATAAATAGTGGTTTTGTTTTAATCACTCTTGTCATCTACTTGGAGTAAAATAGTAGGGTCAACAAGAGCATGAAAAGAATAGCTATTTTTCGGGGATTATAACCTGGATCAGTGAGCCATCCCAATGGTAACATATCCAAGTCAGGCCACGACTTCCCCAGCAAGCCGTTGGCACCTATCATTTTAGCATTAGAAAAGTCTCTGAAATCAAAACCAAATCTATCAGGTTACAAAAAGAGATAAAGACGCAAAGTGCAAATGAAATGTAAACAAAAAAAAGTAGGAAATTTCATTTGAAATGTAAACTCTTAATCATATGGAATGTTAGACCCACCTGGTAACATCAAAGTGGGACAGGACATCTCTCCATGTATCCCAATCATCCCCGGTAATCCTGTACATGTTGACTAGTCCACTAATTTCTTTAGCCATAGCTGGTGTCACACTGGTACCGGGGGACAATGAATATAAAATGGGACGATCAAGCTTTTGCAGAACCTGCAGAAGGTATATCATTTCAGAAATTGTAACATCAATATGACTAGTTTACCGCAGGTCGTTCCGTACCTCTGATACAAAGGTTATCTCATTTATATCCAAATCATCACCAAATACACAGTCATTTTTTACTGCAGACAGAAAAATCAAAGGAAATTATAAGAAATAACATCAAAAGGATTCCAATTATGCTACAGTAGAAAGGAATTTTATCCGGTCGAAGTTGTCCATTTGTGATTAAAAATATAAGAACAATTTGATTATATTCCACTCAGGATTTACCATTTATACCCCTTAGGCCATTTCCAAGATTAACAAAGTATTACCAACTCAAGCTTTTAAGGAAGGGGAAAGATTCTAACTAGCTGAAAAAAATACAGGTAACGAATTTCCCATTGTTATGGATTTGGAGGAGCGTGGTGAATAATCATTTCAAAAATGATGACTTTGGCTCAAAATTTCGTAACTATGGGTCAAGGTGGGAAATGGTGAAAATATTCTCTTTTGGCATGATGTCTGGAGTATGGAAGCCCCTCTTAAATGCAGATTTCCCAGACTCTTTACCCTCTCTATCAACCAAAAGGAAGATTATCGGAGTTTGGAGAGTATGGAAATAGGGGCTGGATTTGGAATGTTGTAATGAGAAGGAATTTGAGTGATTGGAAGCTGGATCAGTGGGTTGAATTAATGTCTGTAATTAACAATTTTAGTGTTGTAGAGAACATGAAAGACAGTCTATCATGGAGAGGAAGTGGAGACGGAATCCATTCGGTTAAATCTGCATTAGAACATGTTCAAACGTGGAGGGAGTAGATCAGTTTTGGAAAATTCACCTCTGGAAAGGCTTGGTTCCACCAAGGGTAGAGGCATTCATGTGGCAGGTGGTGCATCAAAAGCTGGCTGTTAGAGCAGAACTCATAAAGAGAGGTGTTCAAGGAATTTTGGATCCCCTATGCCCTATGTGTAAGATGGAAGTGGAGACTTCCTCACATTTATTTTTTTCTTGTAGGGTTGCATGGAGACTGTGGAACAGATTTTTTTTTTTTTGATAAGATTAAAAGGCCTCATTAAAAACCTCCTTCTTGATTAATGGAGCTTGAAAAGAAGCTCCTTAATCATCAGAAGGAGGAAAAGAGCGCCTTAGATTTTCATTAAAGAAAATAAGATTACAACCTAGATAGATCTCTTCGAAATAACCCTTACAACAGTCCATAAATCCCACCCGAACAGGAATCAAATGCTAAACTGAAAAAGCAAACAACATAAAAATTAGCCTATTCAGCCTTTGCTAAAGCATCGACGTCCATATTAGCTGGCCTTGCAACCCAATTTATAACCCCCCAAAAATATGAGATTGTCAACTATATCACTAACAACGAATGCATAAACAACTGGGCATGAATTGACATTGTTGATCCAGTCTACTGCAACCCTGCTATCACTCTCAATAATCAGCCTATCTTTAACCCTCCCTTGAGCAGAAGCATATAATGAAATACCCCTCTGAATAGCTTTAAGTTCGATCATAGTCGGAGTCCCGGACCAGCTGACTCTTGAAAAGAACCTAGGACTAAACCTGAATGATCCTTCCAAATACCTCCTATACCCGATTTCTTCCAATCAGCTAACAGCTGCGTCCACATTCAATTTCAAAAAACCAGAAGGGGGAGGTACCCAAGGGATTGAAGAAGACTTCAAAGAACTATAAGGCGAGTAGGAATCTGCTAATGAAGGATCCATAATCAAGGAATCCTTATGAATAGAAACATCCTTATGCCTAACTCGTGATAAGAAAACTAATTCTAACTGATCAAGCTTTCCCCCTTCAAAGACAATAAAATTTCTGGCCTTCCAAATAGTCCAAATGATAGCCCCAAGAATGAAAGTCCAAATAGCAGAATTTGATTTCAATTCATCCCAAGCAGTAAGAAAGGTTTTTGCATCAGCAGAAAACACAGAACTAAACCTCCAAAAATTTAAAAATTTGTACCACAAAGACCATGCAACCGAACATGTAAAGAATAAGTGTGGGTGTTTCCTCAACCAATTTACAAAGAGGGCATAAATCATCCTCAATACCTTGAACACCTCTTTTAATCAATTCGGATTTAACAGCTAGCTTACAAAGCACAACCTGCCACATTAAAGATTCAACTCTAGGGGGTACCAAACCTCTCCAAATAATGTTATTCCAGAAGCAAACATCATCTGATCCTGAAGCACAACTTTTTATACAAGAACTGACTGAAAAAACACCATCCCCACTGCCTTTCCAAAGTAAAATATCACTGGAATCTTTAGACAAAGAATAGAGAGAGATGAAGCTCACCAAGTTACACCATTGTTCAACCTCCCAATCATTTAAATTTCTTCTAACTTGAACATCCCAAACCCAGCCTGATGGAAGGAATTCCCCAAACTCACAAAGTTTACCAGATCTATTAGAAGAAACCGAAAACAGTCTAGGAAAAAGAAACTGAAGCGGATAGTCTGCAGCCCAACTATCTTGCCAAAAACGAATAAGCTTACCATTTCCAACATGAAAACTACACAAACTTCGAAACTTAGAGCCAAATGAGTCTTGTTTGTAATGATTGTTAACCACCGATCTCCAAAGCCAAGAACATTGAGGAGAAACCTTGCTATCAAACAGTAACCTTGAAGAATCGATGTTGTATTTGCTATAAATAAAATTCCTCCAAACAGAGTGTCTCTCATTTGCAAATCTCCAAGACCATTTCCCTAGCAATGCTCTATTCATACTAGTCAGGTTCCGGACTCCCAGACCACCCTCGTTCTTAGGTTTACACACATCATCCCATTTAACCCAGTGAATCTTCTTTGAACCATTTCCCCCTCCCCTCCCCATAAAAAATTAGACATGATCGAGTTGAGAGCCTTGAGGATTGAAGCTGGAATCTTGAACATAGACAGGAAATACGTAGGCAGTGAGGACAGAACCGATTTGATCAAAACAGTCTCCCTACTAATGAGAGTGTAGCAGCCTTCCAACCCGCTAATTTAGTATGAAAATTCTGCACCACCGGTTCCCAAATAACAGATGCATTCTTAGTTGCCCCTAGTGGGAGACCTAGGTAGTTAGAGGGGAAACTCCCAACAGAACATCCAATAAAAGCTGCCCAAATCTGAACCTCCTCTTGGGAAATATTAATCCCAAACAAACTGCTTTTCTTTAGGTTAAGTTGCAGCCCTGACATAACTTCAAAAACTCTGAGCACCCTCTTCACATTCATAATCTGTGTTTTCGAAGCTCCACAGAAAACAATTAAATCATCATCAAACTGTAAATGTGTGAGCTTGAAGGACCCTTCCTCCTTGCCAACTGTCAAACCAGAAAATAGTCCCTCAGATACAGCCCGCAGTATTAATAAATTCAACAACTCCCCTACTAGATTAAATAACAAAGGTGAGAGTGAACATCCCTGTCTTAGTCCCTTAGCCATCGAAAATTCCTCGGTTGGAGACCCATTGACTAGCACTGAAATGGAGGCAGTAGAGACACATTTCCTGATCCAGCTAATCCAAGTCGAACCAAAACCCATTTTTTCAATCACCTTGAACAAGATAGGCCAATCAACCGTGTCATAAGCCTTTTTGAAATCTACTTTAAAAACACAACCCTTTAGCCCTTTCTTCCTCCAATAATCAATACCCTCGTTAGCAATGAGGGAGCAATCCAAAATTTGCCGACCGGGTATAAAAGCAAACTGTGATTGGCTGATGATATCTCCCATACAGCTTCTAAACCTCCTTGACAGACACTTGGAAAGAATCTTGTATACACCTCTACTAGACTAATAGGTTTATAATCATCTAGGCTTCCAATGTTAGAACCCTTTGGAATAAGGGTGATAAAGGTGTGGTTAATACCATGTTCCCAATTTCCCCCCCATAGAATCTGTGAAAAAACTGCATGATGTTACCTTTGAGCACAGACCAAAACCTTTTGAAAAATCCCAAGTTCAATCTGTCGGGCCCCGGAGCTTTATTACTATCGCAAGACTTTAAAGTCTCCCAAACCTCCTCCTCTGAAAATTCCTTCTCTAAAAGAATGTTTTGATCCACGGAAATTCTAGGAAAAATCAACCCAATGTCTTCCACATCAAAAGTAGACCGATTATTGAAAATATTAAAAAAGTGCTCTTTAACAGTGGCCTTAATTACAACTGGATCATGAGTAATATTCCCCTCAATTAACAAAGCATTCAACGCATTACGTTTTCTTCTAACTGAAGCACAAGTATGGAAGAATCGAGTGTTTCGGTCCCCATCGTTAATCCACTTCTTTCTGGAATTTTGATACCAAATCTGTTCCTCAATTCTAAGGAGTCTCCATAACTCTGATCTACAATTACGTAACTCCTCGATTTTCCCCTGAACCGAGCTGTCCTGCAACATCTGAACATCCTCCTCTAGCTTGTGAATTCTCTTTTCCAAATATGAGGTTGAGGTTCCCAGAAATTGATTTTTCTGCCCTGCCCAATTCTTAATGGCAACCTTAGACTTCTTCAAAACACTTAGAATTCCAGCTTTTCTCCCATCCTTCTTACAATCTGCTATAGTATGACAAACCATTTCCTCAAAACCTTCTTCCTCAATCAAATAATTAAATAGTCTGAAAGGTTTTTTCCCCCAATCAACTCCACCATCTTGTAGAAGAATAGCATTATGGTCTGAGATAGATTTAGGAATAAGTGACTAAATTATCTCGGGAAAAACATCCAAAAATTGTCCGTCCACCAAGAACCTATCCAACCTAACAAAAGTCGGATCATCTTGGTTATTGCACCAAGTGAACCTTCCCCCATTCAAAGGCAGATTAATTAGACCTGTTGATTGAATAAACTGAGAGAAAATCCTCATAGAAAATCTGTTCTGAGCTCTGCCCACCTTTTCATCCTCACACAAGTAGACATTAAAGTCCCCTCCAACACATAACGGCAGATTCTGTCCAGAAATGAACACGCTCAGTTCTTCAAAAAAACTTTCTTTTTCTTCATCCACTGAGGGTCCATAAACATTAATGAGAATACTTCTGAACTGATTAAATCTGAATTTCCCTATAACCGCAATGAATCTTCTGTTAATACTGTGATTTTCCATTCAAACACATTTTCATCCCAACAAAATAATAACCCCCTGAAGAACCAGTAGTTGGAGATTCAATAACCCCCTGAAAAATATTCAATCCATTCCTTCTCAAAAAAGACCTGGGATATTCTCTGTTTTAGTTTCTTGTAGCCAAAGAAAAGAAGGATGAGAGTTAGAGACTAGTCTCTGAACTGCTCTTTGTTTCTCTCTTTTTCCCAAACCCCTAACATTCCATGAAATTATAGCTAGTTTATCCTTCATAAAAACTGATAAAGAATCTAATTTCCCCAAAATGGCAACTCAGTTTACCACCTTTAGACCTTTCTCTAGCTCAATGATTTTATCCAAGAAAGCTTCCTTCCCCTGTGTAAAAGAAACCCCCAGAATCTGACTAACTTGCCATGTAGCTACTGCTTCATCCAAGAGTTCCGAGAAACCTGAATAAGATGTTGTATAAATATTGACATGTTCTAAAGCTTCTCTGACTAGAATTCTTTTTGCCCTTCGCTTAGAAGTGTCAGAATTGTAGATAGACAAATGTTTTTCCTCAACACAACCCTCAGACTCTTCAACCGAACTACTGGCACCAGATCTATCCACTAAATTTGGAACCTCACTGCCCCGTAAATTAGTCTCTGCTGTTGTAGTAATCTGGAGAACCGTCGTATAAGCCTGTTCATTAGCCTTCTTTAGACCTATAACATCCTCTGTAGCATTATTTCCTTTTTGATCATTCCCATACCAGTAATTCCTCTCCTTACATCTTCTGTAGACTCTTCTGAAGCTCACTTTTTGTAGAAAAAGAACTTCTATGCACCGCTCTCGTTCTGCCCCTTGTTAAGCTCTTTGATAGTTCTGAATTAGAAACTGTCAGTTTAGAGTTAGTTTTATTAACCTCCAGATCTGCACTGCCATACGAACCTGGAATAGAGCAGAACCCCTTATATTGTTTTATGGCACAACTAGCTTCTGCAATTCCCCTATTCTGAACCAATTTACCAAATTTATTGACTGTATAAGCTGGCCCATATGGAATTATGTTAGAAGCCTCCAAACCAACCAGTTCAATGTCATCAGATTGGGCTTCTGGCCCATCAGCCGAACTTTTTGAAAATCTGATACCCAAAACTGCAAAGTCACCTCTGATATTCCCAACGTTCTGACCATCTGACACTCCATTAATACTTTTCCCATGTTTAGTAAATCTTGGAAGATGTTTTTCCCCATCAGTACCTTCTGAGCCAAAGGACATGCCCTCATCAATCCACAAGTCAACCTTTTTTCTGAACATTCAGCTGATTTGACTGAACTTTCCTCATAATCTGACTTCCCCCTATTATCGCCTTCCTCAGACCCCGTCTCACTAAACTGTTTCCCAACTACTCTGGTCACCGGAGAAAATTTGAAAAAAGGATTTGAATCTTCACTGGGCGATCCAACTTTGATGGAGACTCTATACGATCTACCATAGGAACCGAGAGTAATGAATTCGGGAACAACAAAAGGACTAGCAACTCTCATAAGAATTCTAGCAGACGTGAGATCATCCCTGTTCTTAGTGGACTCATGAATTTCTACGTTATTCCCCCATCTCCCAGCATAACAGAGGCACCCCAGATAACTCGAGCTGGCAGAAAGCCATTGGCACTCCTTCTTCATTCAGTAAAGGGGCCAATCTGTCAAACCAGAAGCCTATTTCATCTCTCTTCTTTGTCCATGCCTCCGACATCTCCTCTTGAGATTTGAAAATAATAGCACGGGAATTATGGGCATAAACCCAACCAGCAATCTGAACTTCATAACCGTTACTAATGAAAAACTCATAAACTGACTTGAAATCAAGAGAGAGCTTAATAATCCCCGTTAAAGATCTTCTAACCCAACTCCGACCCTCGGTTGGGATATACATTTCCAAAACATTCTTCTTAGTTTTCTCCCTATGGCTCCCTTCAGAAAATTTCTCCCTATACTCCAATGCATTCATCCTCGTAACCTCAGTAAGTAAAGCATCTCTGTACGTTCTATCATCTCTAACACTCCTACTGGATAAATCTGCCTCTTTCAACTTAGGGGGTCCTGCTGTGGACAAATCTGGAACCAACTTAACTGGACTCTTGTTTACCACAATCCTTGGACGAACATCATTGTATTTTGCAACTCCAACAGAAATCCTTCTCCCATCTATCAGTGAGCCATTCAACATCTCAATTGCCCTCTTCAAACTAGATTCCCTCTCAAACTGAACAAAAGCGAAAGTGGAAAATTTGTATTTTGGATTTTTGGTTTCTTTCGGGATGAAAACTCTCTCCACAGTTCCACGGAACGAAAAAATATCCCTAAGCTCTCGCCGAGAAACTCTCCTGCTAAGATTATCGACAAAAGCCTTCCAGACCTCGCCAGAATCTATTTTCCCTTTTAACTTGTCTCTCTCCCATGGATTTTTAGGTCTTTGTGGAACAGATTTTTAGCTTTTTGGAAAATTTCAGCAGTCCTTCCTGAAAATGCAGTAAATTTTTTGCTAGCATGGGGAAAGCTGGTGCCTCAATCAACAATTTGGAGGTTTATTCCAGGGGTGGTTCTATGGACAATATGGAAAATTAGGAATGCGATTGTTTTTGAAAAGGGGGTTTTAGACACATCACAACTATTTTTCACAGCAAGATTCAGACTAGCAGCTTGATTCTTAGCCAAATTTCCTAAAGCTCCTATCTTGATGGACTCTCTCATTGGTGACCCTTCACTTGGGGAGTTGGATTTTTTCACAAAGCCTCAACCAGCACCTTCGGTATCCTGGACTCCCCCTCCCGTGGGGTTTTTCAAAATGAATGTGGATGCAGCAGTGATTGGAAAGCAAGTGGTTTAGGTGGGATTCTTAGAGATAAATCTAGCTTAGTTCTAGGGACTGTTTCAGAACCTTCTGGTCCGGTCCACCAGTTTTTGTGGAATTGATGGCTATTAGATCTGGTTTAATTTTCTTTGAAGCTTCGAAGTGGTGTTCTAAGGGTCGATTGATTATTGAAATTGATAGTAAGGTTTGTGAGGAGTAGATAAAGAATTCGGTTGTCTGTCCAAATATTTATGCTTCAATTTGTAAGGAGTTAAAGGATAGAATCAGCAGCATTGAGGGTATTCTTCGTTGGATTCCTAGACCAACTAGTATGGAAGCAGATGCTCTAGCTAAGACAGGAATTGGTTAGGAGAAAGCTTTGTTAGGATTTGGGTGATTTCTTTATGTTAGGGATTGAGTTGTCTGTTCTGGTTATGTAATTTGTTTGTAACAAACTTATGTAATCTTCCTTTAAATTTTAGGGCATCCTACATGTTTAGTACTTAAAGTATCACTTTTGTTTCGTTTTAGTACCTAAACTTTCATTTTTTTCAAAACCATACCTAAAGTTTACTTTTTGTTTCATTTTAGTACCTAAAATTTTAACGGCGGGATACTAAAATGAATCAAAAAGTAAACTTTAGGCATGATTTTGAAAAAAATGAAAGTTTAGGTACTAAAAACGGAACAAAAGTGATACTTTAGGTACTAAACATGTAGTTTAACCTAAATTTTAATAAAATACGAGGCACCCTTTTCCCCCTTCCGCTTTTTATTGGAATACCTTCCGGTGTTCTAGTAATTATGAAGGGAGTTTTCAACGAGGCCTCCAATTCTTATAAAAAAAATTTACCATTGTTTGAGCTACTGAAAACACAGTATAAAATTACACTTCCCAGAGAATTCAGTCATTTTATTTTCACAATTACAAGTCCATAATGAAACAGATTGTGCAAAGACTTTAACATAAGTGTTAACATTACCAAAATCAACACCCCACTCAGCATATTGAAGATAAAGGGACCTCAAGAAAGCTCTTCCAGCCTCTAGCTTGGTGTTTACACTCATGAAACCATGTGACATCCAAGCACAAGCCCTCTCCTTGAGCCCTATATCTTTTGCCCTCCACTGTCTGCCAGACTCTACATATGCAGATCCCTGACAAGACAAAGAAGGAAAATTCGAACACAAGTGTAAATGCTAATGCTCCAAATTTCTCAAGTTTACTGAAATGCACATTAAATATTTTTAAGTTACCAAGTTACCTTTGGTTATTCAACGTTTTTATTAGTCTCCATGTAGACTTTTTATAAGTGTGCTTTGTGGTGGATGTAAGTGTTATTACCTTGGCAGCGTCTAATATGGGGGTGTCTGCACTAAAAGCTTGCAGGCTTATCCCTCTCATAACATGTATTCCGAACTTTAAACCCATGCTGTGTACTTTGTTAGCTACTTCAGAAAAACCTTTCCCGCCTATGGATGAGGGCCATCTTCCTGGGTCGGGAATTGGCCTCCCCCATTCATCAATCACATCGAATCCAAGCGAATCAACATAAGCACCTGGCACCTTCCTTCTATACCAAAGGTAATCCACCACTACATACTGCGAACAAGTGAGGAGATAAAATGAAGGAAATAAGTTTTCTTTTCCCTTTTATATTCACATGACATTTCCATTTCCGTAGTAGTAAATAGAGAACATCAACCATGTCACCTCATATCCATGTGGCTTAAGACGGTTAGAAACAATTTCAGCATTTTGCAAGAATTCTTCCTCGGATATTGTCCAGCAAAAGGAATCGTAAGAGTTCCAACCTCTAGGTGGGGTGCTAGCATGCTCCTTTTTGGTTTGTAAATGTGTTTCAGATGGTACCCTGAAATAAATAATCATCATGATCATCACTGAAAACAAGTGGAGAATAATTATCCACATCCACTAATTTAGTGAAATGGTGAGTCATGTAGCAATAAGCCAATAACATGCATCATCGCTGACATTAAACAAACAACATCTTTCTGAAAGAAAAGGAAGGGACCAAAAACTAAAACAAAACATATGTCCGACGAATCCATAAATTAAGCCGAATAGTTCATATTAGCCCAAGTTATTGCATTTTCACTACATCGTTAATGAAATTCCATACACCTAATATGACACTCAATACTCATACAGTCATACCATCTTACAAGAATTGAAATATAGCGTTTTGACAGCATCAGCAGCTAATTCAAGCATCTTTTTTTCACCCCCTTCAATCATCTGATAAAAATAGCGTTTTGCAGCATGGTGTGAATTGCTTCTCATCAGTTTCATAAGCTGGGTTTTGAAACTACTTTACTGCTAAAATGCAAAAACATAAGATGCCCAAATAGTCCTTTTTTTCTTCTTTTCAACAAAAAGAACAGAGATGCAGTGAGGGAAATTCATGGCGTCACTAAATTGGGTTCCTTTAACCTAGTTTGGAGCTACTATTCAGATTCATACAGTTTAAACTTAAACTGAAACAGCGATTAACAAACGATGAATGAACCGAAATAGTGAATCAAAGCTAATAAGGAAGAGCAAATGGCCAACCCATCGGCGATGGAATGAAAACGAGCGCACCTGCAGAGAGAAGGAGCGAAGAGGAGGAAGAAGAAGAAGAAAGAGAAGAAACCAAGAGCCGACATCTTCATTGCTGATGCTTCCTTGTCGTGTCGGGAGAGTGAGTCTTGCTGCTGCCTTTAATTGATCACACACTTGTGCTACACTTATCATCGTTTAAAATGACTCGTTCAAACATTTGGATATAATTTTCTTGGCTTAATTCCCAAATAAAAAATATCTAATTTTCCCTATATTTTATTCAACTTAAATTTTGCAATTCATTTTTTTTTTGTAAATTCTATCCTAAAATCAATTCTTTAATTTTTTATACTTTAATCAATACTTTATTCTCAAAATATTTTTATAAAAAAATAAAAGTATAAATATATCTAATAATTTTATATAATATTTAATTTTAATAAATTAAAATTAAGACGAATTGATAGAATATATATGTAACGGTGACCATTAATTATTAACGTTAAGTAACTTAATTGAATACATTTAAATAATTGAGTGACCTGATTGACACAATTTAAAAAATGATGGTCACAGTGAAAATGGATAATAATTAGGTGGTCTCTAGTATAGTTTACCTTTTATTTTAAATAATTTACTTTGGTTTTTAACTAATTTATAATTATTTGTTGAGCCATTTAGAATTTAAATTTTTATAAATTAAATTAATTATACTCATCGTTAATGATGTTCATCGGTGTTCGTCAAGCGTTATAGAATTTTCCCTTTTACCCAAATTTTATTTTGATTTTATTCTAAATTGATTAGGTGATGACATGAGTTATTATTGTATGATAACACATGTTATTAATGGAAACCAATCATCAATGATTAAAATGAAAACGAAATCTTATTTTAATATCAAATTTTAGGTGAAAAAACAGGTTAACAATATAAAACCCAAAATAGATATCAATAAAACATTATAAGAACAAACAAACAAAAGGGCACAAATGCAAAAAAAAAAAAAATGGCACAAAAGAAGATGAGTAAACATTAGGCAGTGATCGGTGAGAGAAAAAAAGATTAAGATTTGGAACTTTTCTTTGAAGATCTCAATTATTCTTTTGGAGCGGAAAATAATACATCTTTATCTCTATCACAGCAAGCGATGATCAAAATCTGGATATTTTGAAAGAAAAATAAAAAAAAATAAAAAAAAAATTAAGTTCTATATAGATTCAAGATGACGTTATTTTAATTCTTCAAAAACGATACCGTATCTTTTTAATATTGTTTGCAGGTTATGAAATAACCAAAAACACGAATAATTTCAAGATTAAATTTTAAAATTTTTTATGACTGAAATAAGATATCAAATCACATCTGGCTAACTGTGCTCTTATATAAAAAAAGCAGAAATAATGGCCCAAAGCAAGTAACCTAGTAAGCCTAAAATTGTACATGAAATGAAGCCAATAAATTAGGCCCCCCGATTCGTGAACGCCCCTTCATACGAATCTCCTTCAATAAATTAGGGCCGTAAAAGTGTTAAGTCGAGTTTGAGTATTATTAAGTTTGATTTAGTTCAAAAATTTTGAAACAGTTCGTATCAATTTGAAAACTCACGAAAGCTCATAAAAGTTAAAAAAAAAAATACTTTTGTTTTATTTCCATTGCATGTTATTCATCCTATCATATATTTTAGTTATGAAGAATTTATTAAATGACTCTTGCAGATGTCAACTGGGCCTTGGAGGGATATCAAAATGATGTAGCAGTTTTCAATTGAAATGGGAGGCCAAAACTGAGCCGAGAATTCAGATAAGGTATCTCTTTCATTCAGTGCACCAATAGAAGTATGGAATAACTATAATTAACACACAAATTTAAATGAATCTTCTATTGAGCCTAATTTGCTACCATCTTAGTCCAGGTATCCAAGAGGATTATAAAATTAAAGACGAGCTTCAATATTTCAGCAGGTGATGCTTGACAGTCTACATGTCAAGGTGGCCCTGACTCAAATTTGAAAATTTTAAATGTAAACTCGACTCAACTCAAAAACTCGAGAGTCTAAAATTTTTAAGCTCAACTCGAACTCGAAAGAAAATATTAAAACTCGACTCAAACTCGAAAAAACTCAAACTCAAAAAAATTCAAGAGCTCATTCAAGTTCAAGACTCGAACTCAATTCAAGCTCAAGTGCTCACCATGTGGCTCAGTAAATTAAACTATTGAGTTTGAGCTTTAATTTATAGGATAACTTGTGGAGCACTTGCTTCTATCTTAAAGACGTGGGATATAAGGCCACATGCTGTGTGTGGGACTTCACTCTTCTCTCTGCACCCTCTTCAACACCTGTTCATCGGAGACTGCTAAACAAGCTTCATTGAAGCCTCCAACACAGCAACATCAACATCAACATCATCATCATCAAGATCAAGGGATACCACCATCAAGATCGGTGGCACCAAACGGAGAAGACCGTGCCAACTACTTCTCCTGCAAAAACAGCAGCAACTTCTTTCTTGGCATCTTCTCCAGCAGCGAAGCCAGTGGTTACTAATACCACGGAGAAAGTTTCACCTGCCAAGACACCTCCAACTGCAACAGCAGTGGCAAGTTTCCCAACCCAAATGCCTACCTCCTCTGTGACCACCACCACCCGTATCACTTTCAGAATGTGCAACTCGTGTTATATCTTGAGGTGTCTTGTTTTCTGTTACAGACTGTTGATGTTTTTGCTATCGTTGCCTTATCTGGAATTTTAAGCAGATTACTCAGTACTGGAAACTGTTCTAGTTTCTACTAGTAATCGGGCTCCAAATGATTTAAATCAGGTCTTTTTCAGAAAAATCAATTCCTTTCGAGTCAATTGATGTGTATGACTTCAATTATTCCGTAGTTAACAATTAATGAGGCTTTTCGCCCTCTTTATAATTTTCTTATACATGATGGTATGCAACGAGAGATCTTCCTAAAATTAGTTGATAAGTTGGAAAAACACTGTGAGATTATTTTGGTTGGAAGTGAGATTGATTATCGCCGACAACTAGCAAACAGGTCTATAGATAAGGTGATTTTAATTCTGTTTTCCTTTCGTTAGTTGAGATGAACAATGTTTTCGTTCTGTATTCCTAATTGTCTATAATCAATCTGTTTTCCCGCTTTAAAGCAACCTGAAAATCTATTTAGTGGTTGAATTTTTTTCTTCTAATAGTTAGTGATTGAAGTTAGATTTTGCATATACAGGTTCACTATTTTTGGCCCCTAGATGGCACTGCCTCAAAAGGAATTTGAGAAAATGTGGTGTCAAGTTATAAACCAGGCTGGAGGAGAAGTCACATCCAGTTCTGTTCCAGTGATGTTCTGAAGGTAATTGTTAATCTAAGGGCATATGTTTTAGATCCATTAATTCTAGTTTGGTATGTTATAAACATGTATATGCATGTTTAATAAATTTATAGTTTGGTATGTTATATTTTAATTTTTGTATTTCAATCACATTTGTTTAAATTTTCTTATTTGTTTTAAATGTTCAGGTGTCATTTATGTTATTTTCCATATTATTTTAGCTTAAACCGAATAGGATCAATTACATATAAGACCCTATAGTTTATGCACATTTTGTATTTAAGTCATTGGTTTAATTCAATTTTGTAAGTTTAATTTTACATTTACGTGAATTTAATCATCATTCTAAAGTTAGTATATTTAGCTTAAATTAGTCCTCACATTTAGATTTCGCTTAATTTAGTCCATGTTTAGGATTGTTTTCTTTAATTAGTTGTGTATATTTATTTTGCATGTTGATATGTTCATGTATAAGTATGCGATTGATTTATTTAGGAGTCACATAACATCATTTTTCATAATTTGTATGTTGCCTTCAAGTGCATAATTTAACCCCTATCACATAATCAGATTTGGTTTTAGGGTTTATGGTTTAGTTTAGGGTTTAGGGTTTTTTATAAAGACATTAATTAATCGACTTGATATCGATTTATGAGGCAAGTATAATTTAGGGTTTATGGTTTATAGTTTAGAGTATAAGATTTATGGTTTAAGATTTAGAGTTTAGGGTTTACTGCAAGGACATTAATTAAAATTTGAGGTAGTTGTATTATAGAATTTTTAATATATTTTAAAATTTTATAATTATCAATAGTGTATTTTTAATATATTTTTAATAATGTAATTTTAAAAAATCTAAAATTATAATATAACATTTTTCGAGCTGCTCACGAGCTTTTCGAGTCGAATATCGAGTAGCTCGTTTATGCTCGTTAAGAACTCGAGTCGAGCTCGAGTCGAGTCTATTCGATTCGAGTATTTATCGAGCCTTGATCGAGTCGATCTCGAGTAGCTTTTGATATGTCTCGTCTCATTTACAGCCCTAATCTTTAATGCACTAAGCATGCCGCAAAGGTTGTTAACGTGTAACTCTTGCTGATTGTTTTCAGCCACTTGAGAGCATCGTTCAAGGTTAAGCTCCAACTTATGATATTGTACATTCTGATTGCCTTAGGAAAATGATAATTTTGGTACGTCTCTGTTTCTACCATCTAAATTGTACATTCTGCATCTAATGATCCTGAAAGAATTTACTAATTGACAAAGGCCTTGCTTCGAGTTAATGTTGCCTTTTCGTATTGAAAATCCAGAGAGAAAAAACTGCAGGTGCCTCGAAAAGAAAAAACAATTAGTAATAAGGAAAAAACAAAGTTGAAAGGTTTTGGCCATTGCCCGAAAACAAATCAATTCATGCCTCGCTTAAGAACTCAGTAGGGAGAGACTAGAAAGGTATAGTTTTAGCTGACAGTTCATTTTAGGAAAAGGGAAAAGTTCTAAAGAAAAGGAATCAATAATTATTACTTGCCTCCCTTACTCAGTTTATGTTTGATTCTTTGCCTTTACATGAATCCTTCTCCTATATGAATTTCCCTTCAAGTCATCCCCTTTGGCTTTATCAACTCGTCTGATTTTCCCTTTGCTCTTATCTTTCATTTCCGCTCATTGTCTTCCATAATACTCTACAATGGCTCATCAGCATGTCGAAACCAACCCACATTTCATCGATCCTGAAGAATTAACACCAGAGCAGCGTCAGTTTCTACCCCCTTCTTTGTTGCCGCGACGTGGTCATGCCCAACGTATGCCGTCTCGTGGTCGTCGAGACCAACAGCAAAGACAACCCCAAGAGGAGCGTGTCCTGCCACTTGGACCTCGAGATCAACAGCCGCAGGAGAGACAACCTCAAGAGGAACATCTGCAGCCACTTGGACATCAAGACCAACAGCCTCGGCAGATACAACCTCAAGAGGAACGCCCGCAGCCAATTGGTCCATCTCCACCGGAACCACGTCGTGAAGGCCAATGGCCTCACCAGCCATTACATGTATGGGTGCCGCCGGCACATCACGATGACCAACACCTCCAACCACATCCACAACCTCATCAAGGTCAACAAAGGCAGCCACTTGAAATGTGGGTGCCGCCAACCACAAGGGCTAGTGGTCCGAAGCCAAAAAAGGAGAAACATCGGCCACGCAAGGAAGTCGTCATGCAACCGCAGCTTCAAGACCAACATCCTCGAGCATCATTGATCAGGCCACAGCACGAAAGCTCGGACCACCACCCTAGTCCAGGCATAACAATACCAGAGCACAAGGATCAGCGACCCCAAGAGCTACGCCCCCACTCTCGTCTTTTTCTCCCAAAAGACCGTCGAACCAAAGCTCATACATGGTTCGCAGCAGCTTTCTGCATAATATTCTGGCTCTTCATCATAATCGGAGGCCTAATTGTCCTCATAGTCTACCTCGTCTTCCGACCACGTATCCCGTATTTCGACGTCAACAGCGTCACCTTGAATGCGGCCTATCTCGACATGGGATACCTGCTGAATGCCGATCTAACCGTGCTGGCCAACTTCACAAATCCAAACAAGAAAGTGAGCGTGGATTTCAGTTACATGTACCTCAATCTTTTCTTCGAGAACACACTGATCGCCACCCAATACATTGAACCGTTCTCAGCGGCAAGGGGGCAGTCGAGGTTTGCGAATATTCACATGGTGAGCAGTCAGGTTAAGCTGTCGATGAAAGAGAGCATGCTGCTTCAGAAGCAGATCGAGAACAACCGAGTCATTTTCACGGTGAAGGGGATGTTTAGAGCTCGATCCAATCTGGGAAGTTTCTTGAAATATTCGTATTGGTTGCACGGCCAATGTGGGATACTGGTGTCCAGTCCACCCACGGGTGTCCTACGAGATAAGAGATGCAAGACCAAACGCTGAGGCAGAACCGATTGTTTGTGTTTTATTTTTTTGGTTCGAAATTCATTGGTAATAATAGCTGGGAATTAGTTTTGCACTTTCTCGAAACAAGAACAATTGAAGAATCCATTTCATATTTTTTCCCAAATTAAAGAAGAAATCTTCACCGATTGGTGCCCGAGATTGATGATTATTTAATTGTTCTGATGAGGTTCATCTGCTTCATTTTTGGGTGGAGAAGAAGAGTGCGCGAGTTTGGGGAAGATTTTGTAGCCCGCAATAATATTTGGGTAAATTCGAGTTTACTACCTAAATGATTAACTTTGATCCGCTTTAGTACGTAAACTTTCAATTGTTTTCAAAACAATATTTAATGTTTAGTTTTTGTTTCATTTTAATATCATCTGTTAAAATTTTAATGTATTTAATACCTAAATTGTCAATTTTAGTCTATTTTAATACCTAAACTTTCATTTTTTTTTAAATTATCAATTTGATTATTTGCCTCACCGAGTCATTGAATGCTAACATTGGCACAACAACCAATGTGCAATAATCATTAAGAAAATCATTTGCAGTGAGAAAAGAAAATCAAACTCCTTATTTGCAGTCTTCTTCATTCGCCGATTCTCAACAACAATGTCGCTGATTCCCTTTCTCTTATTGCTCTCTTCGTTATGGCTGATCATAAAGAAGTTAACCACGAAAGTGTAATCTTCCTCCGAGCCCTCCCAAGTTTCCCATTTTAGGTAACTTGCATCAACTCGGGCCATTCCCACATCGCTTCACAGGGGAGCTCTCCAAGAAATACGGCCCCGTCATGCTTCTTCAGCTCGGTTTGACGCCGACTGTCGTCTTATCGTCGTCCGAAACTGCGAAAGCGGCATTGAAAACACACGATTCTGGATGTTTGCAGCCGACTTCCATTAACTGGTCCCAAAAGGCTCACTTACAATTTCCAGGACATTGCTTTCGCACCCTACGGACGTTACCGGAAACAGATGCGAAAACAATGTGTCGCTGAGCTTTTCAGCATGAAAAGGGTGCAATCGTTTCAATCTGTCAGGGAAGAAGAGGTCGATCTCCGAGTCTGTTGCATTGGCTATTGGCTAATGCAGTCGATCTCAGTAATGCTTCCTTTTCGCTCACCGCTAGCGTAATCTTTAGAACTGCTTTCGGGAAAAGATTTCAGGGGAGTGGACTTGATAACGATAAGCTACAAAAAATAGTATTTGAGGCTGAAAATATGTTGGGGAGCTTTTGCGCTTCGGATTTCCTCCCGTATGCGGGGAAAGTGGTTGACTGGTTTACTGGTTTCCATAAAAGGCTTGAAAATAGCTTCCGTGAACTCGATGCTGTTTTGCGGCAGGTTATCGATGATCATCTCGAATCCCGAATGAGCATGCATGATGAAGATAGCATTGTCAATGTACAGCTGAGAATGGAGAAAGATCAAACGGAGGACAGTGCTATCCATCTTACTAAAGATCACATAAAGGCAATCCTTATGGTAAGTAACCGGACTTTTTTGTTTTTTATTTTGGGCAACATTTTCTGTGTAAATCCTGTGACCAAGTCCAATTTCATCATTATGGTTAAATATTGATTTGTTATAATTATGAAGATAACCTTCGAAAATCATCGATTTTTCGCTAATCCAGATCCTCGAAGACATTTTTCCATTTATTGAAATTTAAAAAAAAAAACCATATTTTCTAGATACAAGGCTTTGAATTAACCATGTATAGATAAGTCTTTTAATATGTGCATGTGATTTACTAGATCGAAACTCAAGATCTAACTAAAATCTACTTAGCACATTAGCCTACAAATGACTATAATTATTTTTGTGTTGACACCACCAAGGATCACTATAAATATCTCTAAACCAAGATTGAGAAAGAGGTCAAACATTCTATTATATACACAAAATTTCTCACAGGAAATTATCGATTAACGATTATTTTTTTTTCACAGGCTACGGCTCTCTACCCACATTAGAAGAGATGAGTCGTTAACTATAATTTATTTCCATCAACTTGACTCAAATTCTTTTGTAATCTCTACAACTATTGGGGTTTCCAATACATATATGAATTTTATAAAAAATTAATATAAGTGATTTGGAATATTCCATAATTTTGTATAGATACTAAATTTTAGGATATATAAGATATTATATATTTATACTTTGGATGAGTCTGTCACACTCTATTACGCTCGATGAGCACTACTGAACACCGCTGAGCACCATTAATTTAATTTATAAAAATTTAAAATTCTAAAGCATTCAATATATAATTATAAATTAGTTAAAAATTTAAAGTTAAATTATTTAAAATAAAATATTAATTAAATTATTCTCTATAATATTTTTTAACAATAATTAGATATAATAAAAATAAAATATTTTTTAATTTAAATATAAATAAAATAAAATTTTACCTTAAATTATTGTTAAAAAATTATGAAAAATAAAGTAATTAATATTTTATTTAAATAATTTATCTTTAAAATTTTAACTAATTTAAAGTTATATGATAAATATTTTTATTTTTTATTTTTTTATAAATTAACATCAATGTTCATTATTAGTAGTGTTCAGTGGTGATCGTCGAATGTTATAGGATTTTTCTTATACTTTTTGTGATTTTTACAGTGAATTATTATTAGAGATAAACAAGACTATTGCACGCATCTTACTTCGAGTTAATATCATATTGTTTGTTTTTTTCACTCCTAATAACTATATATGTTTATCAGGATATATTCGTAGCTGGAATTAACACGAGTGCAATTACCATGATCTGGGCAATGACCGAACTAGCAAGGAAGCCAACGGCAATGAAGAAAGCACAAAATGAGATCAGAACTCGCGTAGAGAAGAATGCAAAACTAACAGAAAATGATGTCAGTGAGCTTAAATACCTCAAGATGATCATTAAAGAAACCTTCAGATTACATCTCCCATCTGTACTTCTTCTTCCAAGAGAGACTGCATCCCAAATAAAGATTGGGGATTATGTTATATACCCGAAAATAGAATCGCAGTGAATGCTTGGGCAATCGGACGAGATCCTGATTTCTGCGTTCCCGAAAGGTTCCTTGATGATCAGATTGATTTCAAGGGGCAACATTTCGAGCTATTGCCGTTCGGTGCTGGTCGAAGATTTGCCCTGGAATGAACATGGGAATGGCTGTTTTAGAGTTGGCACTGGCAAATCTGCTCTACTTTTTTTTGACTGGAAAGTACCGAGTGGGATGGACATTGATGTGGAAGAGAAAGTAAGTTTAACAGTTGGTGAAAAAACAGACTTATGCTGATGCCTACCAAGTATAACACCTGGGAAGATGATGAGATAAGGCATTGCCGAAAAACATGATTTTATGATTTTCGAATTGTATGATTATTGAATCAAAATAATGGATTGCAAAATATATCTATCTACATGTCCATTTGAAATGATTTTTATAATCATTAAAAGAATCCAGACCAATATCTGGGTTTTCAATCAGCTGATCAAAGTGAAGAGGTTAATTAACATTACCGTGGTGATAGGGGGATGGCAGATATAAGGCAGTAGCCACACTGAGGATTACAACATATATTCGTATATGTATAACTCTGAAAAATCTCAACCGCATCTCAAAACTACATACAAGTCTAATTATAAAACACCGAAAGCGAATCTATGAAAAACTTTTCATTTGTCTAAGCAAGTCGGGTTAGCTGTTTCACGGAATCTTTATTTTTCTTAAAATACAAATACTAATGCATAGTCAAACACAAGTATGGAAATCATCCAAATTTTCTACAAGAAAACAAACATATATCCTATACTCGAGTCCTGATAACATTGTAGAATGACAAAATGCAGACTCCCATGAGGAAGAACATGTAACACGAGAAAAAGTAGGAGCTGCATCATCTTTCAAACATCTATTGTCATAAGAGAGAGTACCTTGAGAATGAAAGACCATTAAGAAAAAGCACCGGAAAGTACCTTGAGAGTGAAGAACTCCATTGTGTCATTTGTTCATCTGAGAATTCACCAATGTCTCTCTCCCTGTAGAGAGACGATTATGTTCCACTTCCTACTTGCCACACCGGAAAACAGCTATTGTGACTGTGAGTTAATCAGTTGCTCTTACTCACCTGTCCAAATGGTTAGAAATGAACAGCAAAATTGCATCTTTCAACGATGATCAAAGCCATAGAGAGGGATAAAAGAGGGGAAAGAAATGAAAAAGGGTAAAATCCAACAACGATATTAATAAGAAAACAGATTTGAAAAAGGAAACCAAAATAGTTACATACTTACATATATATTAGCTTGATTAAAAGACGGTAGCCATGGAAGTATGAACAAGAAAGATTCAACTCTAGGATATCATTGATTTGCCATGTCAAATTTATAAAACTGAAAAAAAAAACATTGCAAATGAAGGGGCTTTGAAAAATGAAGTTACTATGAACTGATTTTACACAGTACAAAGAGTAAAGTATATCATAAAAGTGGTTCAGAAAGCTCCATTTCATTTGAACTCCGCTGTGGCATATCTGGTTTACGAAACCCAACAAAATCCAGCCCAAGCCATTGCCATGGCCAACAAACATATCTCGATCGATTCCGACTCCTTGAGTCTTCTTGTGCTTCGAACTCTTCTAGCTGACGGCTAAGCTCCTCTACTCTTTCCCTCAGCCTAGTCGCCCTCATATCTGCCAGCCTCAATGATTTCTCAGCTGCATCTCTTGCTGCCATGGCAGCAGCAGCAGTTTCTTCTTTGAATTTTAGTTTCTTCTCTGATTCCAACATGGCTTGCTTTGCCTCTTCAAGCTCCAGTTTAATTGCTGATAGCTGTGGATATTTATTAAACCATGATAATTAGGAGCAAATACAGGATATTCTGTAATGAGAAATTGACTAAGATAAAAGCCTCACGAACATCAAATAACTAGCACAACTTAATGCTTTTAAAATATTTCCAAATTTTTGCTCAATTTTTAAATGAAAAAAGAAGAAAAAGAGGAAAAAATGAGTTAATTTATATTATAACTACTTCCCTCACTGTTAAC